GCGAGGCATCGTTGCCGAGATTACGGCCCATAAATCCTCCGGCGGTGGTGAGCCGGCCAGGTCTGAAGGCTCGCTCGGCGAACACCGGAGGAATCCTATTTTGGTGCTTTGGGACAAAACCACTCAGCCCGAGACAGCGATTAGGTCTGGAAAGTTATCCTGTTGCGATTGGGGGCCCGTGGTATTGCTTTGTAGACTACGCGAATTATATGTTTACCTATGGTGTACCACCATTACCAACCAAGAGGAAGCCCCTGGTAAAATGATACCGTGCTTTTCGCTACTGGATACCACTAAAGCAAGCGGTTCGATGCATGATGCGAACGATATGGAGCATGACTTCATTGTTAGAGGGACTGTGGTGAGAAATGAGTAAAATGCCATAAAAAGTGACCTTCGAATAGCAGTAGTCATGGTTTAGGAATGCTATTCCCTACAGCTTCAACGTTATGGACTATGGAGCGCTCATACACTAAGTCGCACACTACGTATAGTCAAACGGACTACGGAGCATTCCGAAATATAAGCACACTTGAGATTCGAAGGCCGCTGGCAATCCTTGCAAATATCGGCAGGTTTCTCGTTATTGTGGAGACGAAACCAAACAAAAATTGAGTCGCTGACAGCCAACAAACCACAGCCGATTGCTGCACAGGCAAAACTCGTAGCTATCCAAAAACAAAGACAAAAGTATTGCAGCGTACCTCAGGATTCATTCCAGACCACCAAATATCTACAGTTAGTAGTCAAGGAAATCGTGATAGTTAAATATATCTAACATATCTAACCTCAGATAAACCATGCGAAGAAAAATTAATGCTATAAAAGTTGTAATTGTTTTCGGAAGATTCTCTGGCAGGATAATGTTGCAGAGTGACCCATGCAGGCTACAGGGGCGCGGGAACTACTCTCAGACTGGGGGTGGGAGGCACACCATTATAGAGATCAACCCAGGGTACCCCCAAATCTAGTTTTCTAACCGGTTTTAGGCCACTTATTTTTCATCCCTTGACTTTTTCAACAAACAAAGAAAACATTTGCATAAAAACTAAAAAGTATGGTATTCCGTCTCAAAGTTGTGGGGGCACCGCTTCCACGGTCCCAGAGTTGTGGGGGGGGGGGGAGAGCACAAGCTGCCCCCACTGCCCGCCCCCCCCCCCCCCCGGTTCCCGCGCCTATGGCAGACTATCCGCGCTTGACGTTATTGTGGAAAAGGTACATGAAATCATTTTGAATAAAAAATGCTATATAGTCGAAAACTTATTTTTGTACCACTAAGTTTACCTAGCATTCAAGAAAGCAAAATCAACAGATATCAACCCTTGACCGTCTTCTTCTGCCAGTGATGGTTAGCCTTATACTTTCTTCAGCTATATTGCAACGAATTGGCTTGACAAGGCTTTTAGTATCTGATTTGGTCCGGTAGCTGGTTTACAAATGCTGGGTTCTTCTCGTTTATTACGGAGCGAGCGAAGCGAGCGGAGTCTTTCCTTAGATTAACGGAAATTTCTGAGTATGAGCGGCCGGCCGGCCGGCCGGCCGGCCGTGGTCACGCTTTTGCGACGCTTATATCTCAGCAACCACTTGACCGATTTACACGCGGTAATTTTTGTAGGGTAGCTTCATTCCTTCTACCAAGTATTGGACTATTCCCGATGCATGTAGGTGACCCCTGATGCACGTGCCACGTGCAAAACGAAGAGGTGTCACTTTTGTAATTGTTGCAATAGCTCGGTAACTACTTGGCCGATTGCGCTGAAAGTTGGCATGTAGGTAGTCACCCACTAGGCAATGCATATCCATGTGCCAGAGTTGGGGTGCTGCTGCACGTGCGCACGTGCAGGGGTCGATTCCAGATCTCGAGAACGGCTGGACCGATTGCGCTCAAATTTGGTACACGGTTACGGAGCAGTTAGTAGGGTGCCGTGCACAAGTCAGTTGGAACCCATTTTGCACGTGCGCACGTGCAGGGTGCCGCTTTCAGATCTCGAGAACGGCTGGGCCGATTGTGCTCAAATTCGGCACATCGCTAGAGACCGGTTAGTAGGGTGCCGTGCACAAGTCAGTTGGAGGTACCCCCTCGCAATTTCGCACGTGCAAGGCCCACCCTCTCGCTCGCTCCGTTAGTCGCCCCATAAGGCGCTATACTGGTTACGTAATCGATAGTCATGTTACCAGTGCTTCAATGTCATTGGCGCTTCTGCCGCGGAAACATTGTAAGATTATGAACGAACGGTGGTGTCTTACGCAAGAAACAAGCTAATAACTGCATGCATGATGGAATGCGAATCAGGTTTTTCATAGAATGGCGGACACTGGATCCCTCGGCTGCCCGCCGGGAGCGATTCTGAAAGAAGGGAACCCCCGACATAGAAAGCGACTTGGGCAGCTGGCTCAAACACGATGGTCTATCAGTCATTGTGGCATTCAAATCGTTCTTTATTCAAAATTCAAAAGAGAAATATGAAGAGTGGTAAGACAGCTTTATAAATTATCAAATATATGTCGCATCTACATTTCCCACTTTAATTTAGTTAATAAAAAAGCAAGCGGTACTCAACCAGTTGCTACCTGCCAGCATCGCCAGATGTGCCTTGCTGTGAATATGTTTCCATCATAAACCGATAATCATGTTTTTCCACGGAACTAACCGTGGAAAAACATGCGTTCATAGAGGTACTTTGTACCTTGCATCTCACTATCTGAATCTCGCTTACAAATCAAGTATTTTAACGGCTAAGTCAGCTTGCATGTATTTATGTCCTTACCAAATTTGGGCATTTCTAAAAAAAAAACACGAAACACAAAGCTGTTCTACAACTTGGAGATGCTCTTTTCAAATACACTGAATTGGCATCTCTCTTATGTATCAGTAATATCTCTTATGTATGTTTTAAGAAAAAATCTAAGAAACCCAAAGGACGTTACATTGCGTTTTCACACACCACCCAACAAACTCGCGGCCGCGCGGAGGCCTTGCTCGATCTATATCCAGTATCTGGGAGTTCTCTGTAGCGGATGTAGGTGCACTGCGTATGTCGTGCAAATGACATTAGAAAAGGAGGGCTATCATCGTTCCAGTCTATACAAAAGCGGGTCGTTGCCCGACAAACATCTCTGCGATAGACATTTGCGTTTGTGGAGGGAAACTATTTTGGACGAGTAGTGTATGAGATCCGGGAAGCGGTCAACAAATCAGAGTCTTATACGATTGGCAATAGTTTCCAATCATTGCAAAATGAAAGTGCGTTAAGTGTACAACAAGTTTTTAAGTCGATATAGCTGAGCTGTTTAGTCCGTTTCAGTTATTGATCGCGGGATGAACATCAAATACATGGTTTTTCGATGCTTCAAGGTACGGTGAACCAACTGTAATGTCAATCACCGATATTGGCTGAATGCCAGACGGCTTCGGGCCGGATTTTGCCTGCCTCTGCTCTAGTTCGACGTTCGGCTTTTCTTGTTTACTAATCCTGGCATGTGAGCAATGGCGTTTTTAGGACGATAACATCACTTCCGAGCGAAATAAAACGGTAAAATATCGCTTTGTATGAGCCACCATAATTAGCCATAATACGTTCCAGTAAGAGGCAACTGATAGGTAAGGAATACTCGGATTCAGAAAGGTGCTAGCTTGCAAATAACAAGAACAGCTTCATAGTCGCTTTCCTTGTGTTTGTGGGATTGAACTATTTCAAAGGCGTTCTAATCCTTCTGAAAAGCGGCTAGAGAAGATGAACATAAGTTGAAGAGAGGTGACTGCGAAGGCGCAAACAATTTATATTTTAAGTAATGAGACGCACATGGTGGACCGCCCAATTCACAACATTACGTAACACGCGATTGATAACAAAAAGATGAAAAAATCAGATAGCTGACGTAACGAGCACAAAATTACGTAATGTGGGCGATATCAGACAGGTGAAATGAACAGATAGCTGACATAATACTCAGAAGGAGATGAACTGCTACCAACCCAATCCAGGTGATCGAAAGTGAAACTTAAATATTCCTAGAAGTTTTTTTTTTGTGTGTGTGATATTGAACAACAAAAAGCCAAAGGACACTCTCGCGCTGAAATATGTCATTATTATAAAAGCCACACGTTGACGTATTTATCAAGCGGAAGAAAATGTAACAAAAGACCAGGATCTGATGTGGGTTCAGTGCTCTTTACATCGATTGCCCTATTCACGTTTCCTCAATAATGAATAACTATAATAGGTATTGAGTTTTCCAGTTCTACTCGCTAGCTAAAATAGCAACTCTAATGAGCGCAGTGTGCCCTAGTTGGGCTTCGTTCCCTAAGCTAATCAACAAATCTTCCGAACAATGTTTAAAATGACGAATAACCAGCAACAAATTATTCCTGAAAACAACATCCTATTCCGGTCGCCTACACTTAGTCGCAGTTTTCCATTTTCAAGGAATTTTATCCAAATAAGGCCGGCTTCAGAAGTGATTGTGGACAAACCTGCCCGTGGAAAACTCCCATGTTGGCATTTCTCCTAGCTGTTGGCATGTCAATGTCACATTGTTGTAGCCCGCACGACTGGTGAAATGCTTATGGTTCTTAGCAGAAAACCAGCTTAGGAGAGCATGTAATTATGCAGGAAGCCACCACCTATTGGCAGACAGGAGTCACCAAACATAGCTTCATGGAGTGATAGGTCATATGGCAAGAACTCCATATTCCAAGAACACATCATCTATCAGATTCAAAGAATTTCATTACTTTGGCTTTCATGTGCTGCGCCAGTACCATACCGCGAAACGCATGGATCACATTGTTACTCGGGCACAGATGGTTAACTAGCGCACAGTTGCAATTTTTACGAGACAAACGTCACTTCTGAGACAGCGAAATAACTTAAAATGATGTTTCACTTCTGTACCGGCGTTTGGCCTCCAGCCTTTGCGTCTGACCTCTGGCCTATGTGTCTGTCTGACCTCTGACCTTTGTGTCTGACCACTGACCTTTTCTCCTTTTGCTTTCACAGGATGCTGGTGAAGCTGCTGGCGGTTGCTGCACTTGCATTGTTCCTCTGCAGTCAGCGTTCGGCCGAGTCGCCTTCGACGGCGCGGCCACCTCTCATCACGGGTACCACTGATCCTCTCCGAAGTTACATCAACAGAGAACAGAACAGAACCCCAGCGGAAAACAGAAAATCTCAGCCAGACGAGATCGAGGGCTCGAGCGGGCGCGGAACTGCTGAGGAACTGGACAGAAGCACAGAGCTCAGACCCGAGTTAGATGTGGAAGTCAAGCTACCCCAGAAGACGGCGGCGAGTGTCAATCCAGTGTTCATCAGTTCCCCAAACAAACGGGTGCCCCATGTCAGTCACAGAGAATCCCTTGGACACTTGCTGGACACAATCAGCTACGATGGCAATGTTCCGCAACTTGGCGTCAACCACAAACCTTTCCACGTTCTTGAATTTGCCGACGTGAACGACGGCCCCCCACCCGATGTCGACGATGTCCTGGATGCGCCAGAAAGTGCGTTGGGTGCTCGGCCCCCAGAGACTGGCCTGGTCGAGCTGCTCAGACTTACCGATCGGCGATTTCTTCCCCTGATGCTGATGGGAGATCCCGAGCCCGTCGGCAGGTATCACTGCACCTACGACAAACCGCAGCCAATCGTGCAATCATACGTGGACGCCTTCGATGACAACGGTTGTGCGTCCTGCGAACTGGATGATGAAGGACGTCCGATCAAGGAATACTCGGAGGATATCACTGAGGTAAAAGGCCATCGGTATTTTCTTGTAACATTTTTAATTTGTTTTAATTTTAATTTGTAGCAGGTATTTTAGCCAGGCTTGTAATGGGACAAATCTAAATATAAGATTCTTGTTGCCAGGACCATAAACAAAAAGGCGATTGAGATGAATCTTTAGCAGAAGCAATCAGAAGAGCTGATTTACTACCACTTACCGCATTGTGCATGATGCATCATATGTTTTTTCCCCATATTTGTGGTTTTCCCGACCTTTCTCAAAACAGGGTGCCTCAGGATCATGGCTGCAACTTCCACTTGCGTGAATGCAGCTTAGCACGCGTATTCACGTATGATGTAGGTAATTTGTATCTTATTCTTGACTAAGTGCTCCAGCATCACATGTCATAACCGCTTCCTCTGTCTGTTTCGGCAGTTCCTACCGTCGGGTTTCAGACCTGAAGCCAGCGAGGAGCGCCTGCGGGAGCTCTTCCAGGCAGGTCTCCTGGACAAAGACACGTTCAGTGCCGAGGACCGACCCAGAGGTGCGCTACGCCGCTCCAGTCCGACGAGCACCAACTGCACGTGCAGTGTGGGTGACCAGGAGACGATCTGCAGCAGTGGAGGCGCCGGACTGTTCTGTGACCAGCTGCCGTATACCACCGTCCCATCCGGCATCCTGGAGGTGTCTCACACCAACATCTCCGAGCTGGACGTGGGCAGTCTCGAGTTTGTTGCCAACGTCTCGGTGCTACGACTGGCATGGAACGAGGTTGCACGCGTCCAGCCAGGCGTGTTCGCCAACATGTCCCTACTGAAGAACCTCAGTCTGGCGCACAACCGGCTGGAGATGCTGGATGTCAAGGCGTTCTCGGGTGCCACCGCACTACAGGAGGTGGTGTTGTCATACAACATGTTCACAGAACTGACGCATGCAACGCAAGCGCTCAATGTGAAAACGACACCCAGGCTGGTGCATCTGAACATTGGTGGAAATAATTTCAGCCAGATCGGTCCACAGGATTTTGAATCGTTGAGTCAGCTTCCAATTGAAGACCTTCAGCTGCACGAAAATAACATTGAGCATATTGATCCAACGACATTCATGGAACTGAAACATCTACGTAGACTGAGATTGCGAAATAACTTCTTACCCATTGAAGAGGTTGCCGCTCTTGTGAATGAGATGAACAACACCACTTTGGAGGTTATCGACCTTTCCATGATTGGAAAGTACAGCATCAGTGAACTCAACCCTGTCCTGAGCGCGGTAGCTGATAGCAACATCACTAGCCTGATGCTCAACGACTACTGCTTTCCCAGCATCTACGGCGTTTGGTTTCCCGGCTTTCCTGGACTCAAGGAGCTAAGTATGCGCTCGTGCGGCATCTCGTATATCTACGCCAACTCCTTCAACCAATTCACGGCTCTTGAGTCACTCGACCTAAGGGACAACTACTTCACATACGTCCCGGCGGCAGTGCTTCTTTCCTCTCTTGTCTCCCTGGATCTTTCTCGACCGGAGCTGAGAAAATACACGGGAGCGCAGAAGCCATCTTTCTCCGTGTCCCAATACCGCTTCCGCGAAATGACGAGCCTTAAGTATCTGGACCTTTCGTATAACAACATCACAGTCCTGGAGCGCGGAGCGTTCGTCGGTCTGGAGAACCTTACCGTGCTCCTGCTGAAGGAAACTGAACTAGAGCACATTGCCAACTTCAGCTTCAGCATGCTGGAAAACCTCTCTGAGCTTCACCTCACTGGCAACTACCTCGGCGCGCAGCCGTTCGAACACCTCTGGCAGGGCCTTACTTGCCTCACTGTGCTCTTTCTGGATCACTGCCGCATCAACACCAGTCAACTCTACTTGAGCGAAATGCCACGCACCGAGATCCTCAACCTCTCCGGCAACGCGCTCCGTACCCTCACTCCCAACACCTTCCACGGTCTCTCCTACCTCAACACCATCGACCTCTCCGACAACATCATCGAGTCATGGGAAGAGAGCATTTTCCGCGACTCCCGGGCGCTGGAGCGGGTATATCTCCGAAGCAACGGTATCACCTGGATCTCGTCTGCAATGGCTGAGGACTTCATGCTTCTGAACCTGAGGGTGTTGATGCTTGGACACAACCCGTACCACTGCTCCTGTCACCTTCACGACTGGCTTGATGGACAAGATGATGGAGCAGACATTGGAACTGTGAGGACAGACTGGCTGCTCTCAAAAGGTATGATTATATTTCATGTTGTGTCAATTCATGCTTTGGTAGCTCTCAAAGGTAGAAAGTGTACCCAATAGTTCATCGTTGTAATATATCGCAAAGCAAATATCATGAATAACCAGGGCCTCCAATAAAGGAGTGCAACGTTTGTTTGTTTGTTGGTCATTTTGGGTCATGGAAAGCAATGCTAAGGTTCAATGAGTGACTTTAAAATAATGAAGGACGAGTTCAAATTGAGCTTAGGTTACCTTTGGGTCGTATTAGATTAACCCTATTCCTGGCGGGGGGGGGGGGCCTCAGGAGCCCCCCCCCCTGAGTTTTTTGGTTATATCTCCCAAACGCGTTGAGCTAGGAAGCTCAAATTTTCTGACTTTTCCTAAAAGGCTTCTACGCAACATGTCTGAAAATTTTGAGTTGATCTGACCTCAGGTCAGGTCACCAGAGGCGGTTTGGTGACGCTACCTCAGAAAAGTTTGCAATCACGCCAGAGCTAGAGTTTTTGACCGATCAATTTCTTCTCTTCAAGGTTTAGTTAGGGTACCAGTATGTGCAATTTGTATATCTCGGAATTTTGATATCGGTGACCTAAGGTCAGGTCAATTTCGCGACCTCCCCATTATAAGTCAATGGGGGAAAAATCAACTCCCTGTTTTTACCACTAAAACGGGTCGGAATGGCCCCATATACCATACATGACTTCATATACGATCAACCTTCACTACCTTGAGGTCTGTTTTGCTGTTGGGCAGCTGTGAGGTCATGTGACGTCATCAAAGGTCACCAAAGGTTTTTGGCCAATAACTCCGTACAGGAACAAGATACAGACGCGTGGATGGTCTCATTGTGTTCAGCTCGTCAAGACGCATCGAATGATATACATGATGACCTCGAGGTCACGTGACCTGAGGTCAACCTTTGACCTTGACCTTTTGAGGTCAACATATATATCATTCGATGCGGATCGACGAGAGGATCACGATGATGCCCTTAGTTTGTTCCTATCTTGACTAATTCGAAAGTTATTCGAGAAAAACTCTCTCCATATCTAGTGCCGCCATTTTGACTTTTTCGACCCCTGTGACGTCATCTTTGACCTGACCTGAAAATGACCTTAGTAAAAATTGTAGATCTTGGCCGTGCGTATCCGACGCCGTTTACCGCTTGTCGCTATCTTGCTTCGTTCTCGAGATCTCAGGGGGGGGGCCGAATCGGCCCCCCCCCCCCCGCCAGTTTCTTGTCCCGGCTGAGCCCGCCAGGAATAGGGTTAAGCTTTACATCAATTTTCACTTAGGACAAAATGAGTGGTCATCTAAATTAGTTTGTCTCAAGAGCGCTAGCTCAAGTTTCTTCTCGCTTTTCTTGTACTTACTCGTTTGTCCATAACTCCCGGAAATTGCATTTGTCCACGTCTTCAACGACAACAACCTTCCCTCTCGTCTCTTCAGACAAAAACGGTGGCTACATCACCAACGATATCGACGACTGCTACTGCAGCTCTCCGCTCAAGTTCAGCAACGAGACTGTGCTCGAGTTCTTTCTGCATGCCGACCTCTTGCCGTGCGCAGAGCCCTCACGGACACGCATCCTGCTCACCATGCTTCCCGTCTTCGTCAGCGGTATGTGGCAGTGTGGGGAAGGGGAAGATGATGATGAAAAGCTGGGGAAGGGATGATGTTGGGGATGGTGCTAAATGGACTGGATAGAATTATTTTATGGGTACGTGATTACGAACGTTTTTACATTTTTTTATACCGCTGTTGATATCGAGTGCTTTCATTCTTTTTGTTTCTTCTTTCTGTAGAAATATTTTATCTAACAGGTGCATAATTTGCTTTTGCTCTACTACACCTGACCTTTACCCACGCAACTTAGGTACATGTTACTCTAGATCATCATTCTCCATTACTCTTTGTGCTGTCGTGAGTTGCCACTAATGCTGCCTTGTGTTGGGATGACAAATTACGGTTGCAGACAAACAAATTTGCTGGTTCGTATACTTCACAGCATTTTTTATATAAGGCAATGGTAGGGTAGCCATCCTACGGATATTGCCATTCTTAGTTTTCTCGAAGAACTGGCAAGAACACTGAACCTTATGTTGTCAACTTCTTAAATTTGATTTTATTACAGTCCAAAGCGAACTGAATAGAAATGTAATCGCATTACGCTGAGGTCGCTCAGCGGAAATCTCTAGTAAGGAAAAGTTACCCAAGCAGAGTAAAGTTTTGCCGGGCATTTCTTCTGAAACTACTGAAATTAATATATCGTCGAGCTTTTACAACGCAGCTTTGATCTCATGCAGGTGTGTACCTAATGCGTATAAATGCACCGTGCTGCTGAATATAATGTTTTTTAAATTTGCCAAGGAACACTGAGAGGAGAGCGGGTGATAGAGAGAGAGAGAGAGAGAGAGAGAGAGAGAGAGAGAGAGAGAGAGAGAGAGAGAGAGAGAGAGAGAGAGAGAGAGAGAGAGAGAGAGAGAGAGAGAGAGAGAGAGAGAGAGAGAGAGAGAGAGTCTAGGAGCATGAAGTGTTTTTCGCCAATATGTTTACGCAATACTGTGTTGTTGCAGGTATGGTGGTGGCACTGCTTATTCGCCTTGTTTACAAGAATAGGTGGTACCTGAGGTACTGGTGTTTCAAGGTAAGGGAACTTTTAGCTCCTTATCTACGATTGATACAATGAAATGCGCAATGGCGCGGCATCGAAGCAGACTATCAATACACTTAGATATTTGACTGATCTGCCTTCTATCTGCCTTCTAACCAAACAAGGAGTCTTACCTTAATCGGCACCCGACACCGAAGCGCTTTTCTAATAAAAATGACTTTTGATGTGCAGCTAATTCCTAAGACATTCTCCATGACTCCGTCTCTGACAGCTCACATCAAAGCGCTGGCTGAAGCGTCTGAGGAAAAGCAACGAGGGATTTCTGTACGACGCCTTCGTCAGCTACTCGTCTGAGGACGCCAGCTTCGTCAGCGAGATGATAGAGCAGCTAGAGAAGACGCCGCCCTTCTACCGTCTCTGTGTCTACGAGAGAGACTTTGAGATCGGCAATGTTATCAGCGAGTGCATCCTGGAGAGCATCAACACCTCTAGGTGAGACATTACGTAGATCGTCTGCTTTGTATTTCATCAATGCTTTATTGTTTTGTTTGTAAGTTTATTTGCGGAGTAAATTGTGGATTATGAGAAAAGAACATAGAGCTTGGCGTCTTGAAATAAAAAACAGTGAAATAGCATGACAAACTTGATGTTATTCAGACGAAATGAATGTAAAAGTCAGCAATAAAAGGATTTAAACGAATTCACTCTAAAAAACGTGTGTAGCACGCGTTAAGTTGATAAAATTCTGACTATCTCTAACCACCACCTTGACCGGTCCACACTACTTCCAAAAAGTATCTCTCACCTCCCTGTCTTGCGACTTGCACCGCTCGCGCTAAAATCAATCTAGCTGCTCCCGGCAGTCTGACTCTGCCCGCCGCCCCGGGCTGCGCTGCCGTCGACAATGAGCTGGCATCATAGAAACGTGCATACTGTTTACCCGTACTATTATTAGATTTTTGTGCTGTTTAATGTTTTCTTTAAGTTAAAGTTGGCTTTCTCATTGCCGCCAATGCGTGGCGCCATCTGGAACCATGCTGGAGACGAGCGGCGCCATCTGCCGCCACTCCACTGCTCATTACTTGTGGCGCTGCCTGACTGGTGATGTGTGTTGTTTGTTTCTTTCCTAGTGTGTCGTTTATTTGTTTTGAATCGTAAAGATATGAAATAAATAAAGATATGAAAAAAAATCAATCTATCACCATCCTGCATTTGTCCTCCCTTCAGAAAATCAACCTCTTGCCAATCTGACTGCCTCACTCTGTTCGCAGGAAGTCGATCCTGGTGCTGACGGACCACTTTGCCAAATCACACTGGTGCCGCTGGGAGATGAACCTCGTCCAGTGTCGCCTCTTCGAGCAGACTCGCGACGACCTAATCCTGGTCAAACTGGGGAAGATCCGGTCCCGTCACCTGACACCCACCATACGCTACCTCATGAGGACGCGCATCTATATCGAGTGGGGTCCGAGTGCCCAGCAACAGCTGCTCTTCTGGGAGAGATTGCGAGCAGCGCTCAAAAAGCCCGGAGGCACACCAGAGCTGCCTAGGACTGTGTGAGGGACGTGGGAAGCGTGGGAAGGGACGGGGAGGGACGAGAGAGGAAGTTGATAGTGTGGGGGACGTAGAAAGGGGTGAAGAGGGACTCGGGAAGGCTAGGAATGGTGACAGGGATTTAGAAAGTGTGATGCCAGAGCCAGCGACGACTATGAGGAAAGGTTGTAAATGTGATGTGAAAAGGGGCGTAAGGGAATGAGGTGGGGGGTGGAGAGTGACAAAAACTGGGGAGAGAGAAATGAGAAGAAAGTGGGCAAGAGTGAAGTGGTGGATGTGAGAAATGGGTAGCGATAGCGCCTCCCATATGATGAAAGGAAAGCCTATAGCGATGTCATAGATTTGGGGGAAGTTAACTCGATGGGATAAATGCAGTGCAGTGAAGAAGGTCAGAATGAAGAGCGAGTGTTGAGTGCTAGCAAAGTGATGTGAAGTGAACATGCATGTTATCATGTTAGTTGTTGAAGCAAAGCGACGTCCGCAGATGAGAAGAAATAGTAGAGCGACCTTAAGTGCAGTTTATGCCAGTTGATGTTTATCTTTCCTTGCACAAATAATTTGCAGGAAACATCCACCAGTTGTCAGGCGAAGATGACACTGCGGTGGGCGGCGGGTGCATTAACTTTGTGTGAGCCTTCATGTGCAAGTGAGGGTATACCTGACACGTGGGAATTAGAGAAAGGCGCAAGTGAAGGCCATTGTGAGAGTTAACCCGCGCCCCGCTGGGGGGGGGGGCAGAATCTGCCCCCCCTCCCGTTTTTCGCCAATAACTTCTAAACGCGTTACGCCAGCGACGTCAAACTTTTAGTACCTTATCATACATCAATTTGACACGTTCCCTGAAAATTTGAGCGAAATCTGTCGGAAAATTTTTGAGAAATTGACGTTTTAGTGACGTCATGTTCGCCATTTTTGCCTAAAAAACGGCAAAATTTCAAACGCCGCTAACATCTTCATTTTTAAAGGAATTAAGACGTAACAAAAAAGGTTATACGTGTTTCCACTTTGTCTATCAAATGGCTATCTCGGTTTTTTGAAAATTTTGGATTTTGGCCAAAATTTTTCCAAAAAACTGACTTTTTTGGGAAAATATTTATAAAATCCAAAATTTTGAGTTTATCGAAAAAACCGGAATATATGTCAAAGAAGTGGTCTATGTGCACCTACATACCAATTTTTAGAAGAATCGGTTCAAAAATGTGGGAGTTATTCAAAATTTTATGACGTCACGACACAATTTTTTTTTGAAAAATGATTTTTTTGGAAGTTCTAGACCTCGTACGGAAACAAAAATAGCACCATTCGATTCGCCGTGAAAAACTGCATAGGATAGACACCTTTTTAGGCCTTAACAACCAACTTCAAAATTTGACCTCACTTGACCTGACCTTGACCTGACCTCGACCTGCAATTCATCCAGAGGTGGTCCATATCACTTATTGAGTGTGCCTATTGAATTCCATGAGTAAAATGACCCATAAAACATGTGTCGCACATGCCCTTTTCTATATTTTGTTTTTGGTGACCTGACCTGACCTGACCTGACCTTGACCTTGACCTTTGAATGACATTGTGTGCAACGAATATTGTCTTGGTAGTCTAAGAACACGTTTTGGGCAATCAGTCTCAGTCCATTCTTCGGCAACTACGGTGCAAGGCCGATACTGTAGAAACTTGCATTTTGTACCCTTGACCTGACCTTGACCTGACCTCTGACCTACTTAAGCAAAAAAAATTGGGCTCTTAAGATCCGCCTTGTTGAGAGCTTTCGATTGCCGTTTTCCCCGTCTTTCTACGACCATCGGTTCGGAAGTTAGACAGGGGGGGGGGGCAGAATCTGCCCCCCCCCCCAGCAGGGCGCGTATGGCTGAATAGCCCAGCGGGGCGCGGGTTAAGGAGAGCTCTTGTTTGTTTGTAGTTCTTGCTATAGTCATGAATAGCGTAAGTGCTGCGCACTGCGCTGTTACGTCACTTATTTTTGTTGTTTTGCCGGCGAGGAAACCATGTATAATGATGTGCTTAGCATTCAACAGACAAGCAGAACGTTGGTACTGAGTATTGAGTAAGGTAGTTTGGAACGCCTGGTAAAATCTATGACAGGTGTGGTAGGTGTTCCAAAAAATGTGCAATTAAGGGCAAGATGCGTGAGGGTAAAGGGTATCATACTGACACAATGAATGTAAATATGCCATTATTGTTATTGATATGTTTGCAGTGAAAAACATAGGGAAATGTTGTGCTGTTACGTCTATTTGTAATGTTGTTCGCTATGACAGGGAAGTGCATTTGTGTTAGCACCCATTCCATAGTTAGTTCATACTAGTGTAGTTTTAAAACCATCCAATTTTCCGAAACAGAACAAGAAAATGACGACGGAATTCGTTACTTGGCGTCACTCTTCTACTGCTTCTTTGCGTTTTTAGTTTTACGCATTCATAGTTTCATTCATTTGTATAGCACCCATGGTTTCAACACACAAACTTGTAGTACAATCCAACAGTCTTGCCACTCATGAATTTTTGTAGAGCGGACAAAATAACATCACACCTTGCAGACCAAGCTCTGTTCGTCATATGCTGGGCACAGTAAGGATTTAATTTTGCGGCTCATCTACATATTTGCCGTGGTTTTGTTTTGTTCTACCACAGACTGTTACAGACTTTGACATAGTTTCCGGTAGTGTACATTATGAATTGTGGTACCCAATGCCTAATTAATTTCACATCGCATCATCTCGTATGGGATGGGTCAGTCACAAACTAAGATGTATCACATTAACTATAGTCTGTCCCATAAGTTATGCGTAAATCCAGAAAGAATGGAACTCGAAGGTATCTGAATTATCAATCGTTGGTTTGGCATTGTACGTGCTACCTGGCAGGAATCAGCAATGTGTCAAGGGGTCCACGGATTCATATTCAAGTGGTCCTGAGTCATTTGAAATAAAGAGAAGGGGCCATGTGCCCATCAGATTCTACGGAGCACTTACTTGTTTGCTGTAAAAGTGTATTGTGTACTACAATTCTGCAGTGACGAGGTGAGCTCACCTAAAATATAATTATGTATGACATTGCATCAACAAACTTTATTGGCACCGTCAGTCCACAGAACCAGCCTATAATAGGCTACAGAGATTTGAGATCCACATACACTATTTTGGATATTAGAAAATGGTTCTAAGATACAGGCCTCACTTATACCTATGGCGTACTTATACCTCACCTTGCCAATGGCGTAACCATTAGACAAGGTGGTTACGCCAATTTTAAGATTTAGATAGTTTTTACGATCCCAGCAAATTATCCCCCTTTTACTTTTACTTTCTCCTGGGTGTTCTCTCTCTCTCTCTCTCTCTCTCTCTCTCTCTCTCTCTCTCTCTCTCTCTCTCTCTCTCTCTCTCTCTCTCTCTCTCTCTCTCTCTCTCTCTCTCTCTCTCTCTCTCTCTCTCTCTCTCTCCCCCACCCCTCAATCGTCCTGTCCTATCAATTCCTCACTTCGTACCCATTTCTGCGCTCTTTCCAGACACACAGTGACTCACCGGTCCACGACCACTCAGCGTCCTCTAGGCTCTAACTACCTCTCCTGCGCCTCCCAGCCACCAGTCATCCTTGCGACAGCATTCCAGTCGAGGTAATCGTGTCAATGATCAAGATTAGCGTGCAGCCGCTATCCAACGCACCGTGGTGGGATTTCGACCTGGTAAAACGGGAGAAGAACATGAAACTGACGCCAGGTGACCGGTAAACCAGTCCGATTATGGCGGAGAGCCGGTATAAAAGCAGAACAGGCGTGTGTCAGAGCACAGTGCAGCACTTTCGAGCATCTCTGTCGCTTGCTTTCCTCGGACCTCCGACCAACCCAACATGAAACTGGTGAGTGGTGCAGTGAAACGCGGTGAAACAGTGACTGAAACAAAGATGAATTAAAGGTCTATCAATGCAAGGTGAAACAGAGTGAAATAGACGTCAAAGGTTAAAATCACAATTTGTGTAAAAATTTTCCCCTAAAAAAGAAAGCATATGTTTAGTGGAACTTGAAAGCATGAAATACGAAGTGCATTTATCCCGGATTTTTTTTTTCTTCTAACGCCTGGTATTGACCGATGTGCTCTTCAATATACCAAACTCTATATTCTGGCTCCTTGTAAAAAAGTAGTCGCGAACAATGACCCACAGATGGATCATCAAAACTGTTTTATCCGCCGGCGAGAAGTTTGACACCTAACTTCTACACGGCGAAAACTTTTGACAGGTTATTAATGACCAAAACGCTCGCAGAAAAAAACTGATCGGCCTAATCGCTCCACAGCAATAGTGAATGAGTCCCCAAATCCTGAGAAGTACTGGTTTTTACTGGAATTAGCCAGGCACGAGGCCAATTTTCTTTCGTCCGTTCGCTTGTAAACTCTATTTCCGGTCCTCAGTCAGTCAGCATAGACTATAAGGTATATTGTGCATACGTTTTGTGTCTGGATAGTTGACATTTGACTTGGCCAATAGTTCTGCTCTTCACCAACAGTATGCACTTTTTTCATAAGAAACCACAGCAAATTTACGCATGAATTTCATGCATAAATCTGCACAGGACTTTCATATCTTTTTGTATGCATGCTTGCTGTTCAGACGTCCAACATAATTTCGAAGTGCTAAAGTCGCAAAAAGTAATTTTGTTTGTGAAAACGTGCTGAATGTGATAAGCTGTAATAAAAGGCCCTTGATTTTCTGTGTTTACCTCAATTTTCTTCAAGCCATTTATGTTCATTCACTTATCATCTCTCTTTTTCAGTTCGTTCTGTTCGCCCTGGTGGCCGTGGCTGCCTGCCAGTACGTGCCTGGCAGCGACAAGGAGGCCCAGATCCTGAAAAACGAATTCGAGCAGGCCATCGACAACAGCTACCGCAGTGACGTCGAAACCACCAACGGCATCGTCCAACAGGCGGCTGGCGAGAGCATCCCGGGCCCCGAGCCGGAGACGGGCACCTCTCGCCAGAAGGGCAGCTACCAGTACGTCACCCCCGAGGGCCAGACGATCCGCGTCGACTGGGAGGCCGACGAATTCGGCTACCGCGCCGTCTCCGACGCCATCCCCAAGGCGCCGCTTCTGTAGAAGAAAAGAACCCACCAATTGCCGACTTTTTGAAGATGAAGTGTTTCACCGTGCCTCAGACTTGTGAAGTGAAATTTGCCGACGCGCGTGCGTATTCGTGAGTCATAAAAGATCGTTCAGCTATCGACAAACAAACGATAATGGAACGGTTGATGAACGCGAATTAAACGGCGCACGTGCTGCGATCCATCAGGGACCTTACGATCTGCGCAGACTGGATGCACAGTGGATGCTTTGTGGATAACAAAATGGACAATATCATCATTGTGCTGCACTGTCTGACAAATACACATACTTGTTCCTAACATTTTTACCTGCTCAAAGGCTGTGAAACGGCCTGTAAAAGATCTTAAATTTGCCGACAAACTTTCCCGACAGTTACCCTTTTGAATTTTGCCAACAGCTAAGACGCAGCTAAGAGAGGGGACAAAAAAGCTCTCACGGGCCTTTATGAGGCCAATCAAATCATGGTGCGGCTAAGGTTTGGTCATCAAGTCGCGTTTAGTTACTATATCAGAAATCATATTGAGTCAAAAGTTATTACAGTAAAATATTTTTTCGTGAAAACGGCTATTTTTCGAAATTTTGCCCTCTGGTGGGTGGCGGCTAAATCGTTGGTCCTAGGTCAAATCTGAGGGACAACACTCGAGAAGGAGCGCTAAAAGGGCTATCGAATACGCTTTTCCGCGGCGCTGTAGCTCTATTGGTTCCCGAGTTATGTGCCGGAATTTCGAAAAATGTTAACCCGCCCCGGGCCGGGGGTGTTTGAACCCCCCCTACGGTTTTCGCAGATATCTCAAAAACGGCGGCGCTCCGCGCCGCCGTTTTTTGCAAACCTGTTTGTGCATCTGTTCCGCACATGTTGTGAAAATTTCAGACCCAGGTCACCTTAGGTCAGGTCACCAGGATACGCCAAGTGACCTCACTTCAGAAAAAATAAGAATGCTCGTCATAGCTACACCGACTAAATGATTGCCTTGAAACTTTCAGCCATTGATTAGAGCAACACTATCTATAAGATGCTTATCTCGGAATTTGGATATCGGTGACCTAAGGTCAGGTCAATTTTGCGGCCTCTCCATTATAAGTCAATGGGAGAAAATTGAAAAGCGTCTGTTTTGCACGAACGCTATTCTAGAAACTCTCAAACATCGAGATGTAGGTAAAATTGACACACTGAACCAGAAAATGGCAACTGTGACCCCTCGTTATGTCCCCGAGGTCATCTCAGGTCACGAACAGAATCTAACAGTTTTTCGCTAATAACTTCTGATAGAGGCGTGCTAGAGCGCTGAAAACGCCTTAGATGTGTCCGGCTCGACGTTGCGGATCGACTGATATGCAACATGACCTTTTCCGGTCAGGTCATGACCTTGACCTGAGGTCAAATTTTCAAGTTGACCTTTCAAGGTCAAATTATAATTCATTCGACGCGCCTCGACGAGAGGAACACGATGCTGGCAAAAGTAATGTCATGGCTCTTTTGAGTCAAAAGTTATTGCCGAAAAAACGCTTTTCGTAAAATCGGCTATTTTTGGAGTTTTTGCCCTCTGGAGGCTAAACCGTTGACCTGAGGTCAAATCTGAGAACATTACTCAGAAAGGTCTGTAAAAGGGCTATCGAATGCGCGTTTCTGCAGCGCTGTAGCTCTATCGGTTCCCGAGATAGCCGTCGGCAGTTTTCAAAATGTTGAAATAGTCAACAATTTACCTTTGGTGACCTCTGGTGACCTGACCTTTGACCTAACCCCAAAAATAACCCTAGTGTTTTCGTCCTTATTTTAGACGTTCTTTCGATTGCCACTTACCGCGTGTCGCTACGTGGCCCAGGAGCCGAGTTAGAAGGGGGGGGGTTCAGACACCCCCGGCCCGGCGCGAAATCAATTACGATATTTTAGGGTTCTGATTTCAAATTTTGCATTCGTATTTAAAACCTCGCTGGCCGAAGGGGGCGGGTGCCGCCCCTTAGGTTTTTTCGCGATTCTCTGAAGTCGATGGAGCCAGAAATTTGATATGGCAGAACTCTGATTCAAGGCGCCAGATCTTTGTCACCAATCGCATTTTCGGGTCGGGTCAGATCACTGAACTATGGTGCCACAAGTGAACCTCTACAAGATCCTAAAGCGTCGCAACTTTCCTGAGGTCAAGTCAGTCAAATGACCTCACCATAATGATTCAACAGAGGAAATATGGCAATTGTTATTTTGGCGCCGGAAATGATCTCAAACTACCTCAAGCACATGTGATCATAATTTATTGCACTCATTGCAGGGTTCAATGCTTCTTTCCCTTTGCGTCGTTGAACTCAAGTGACGTCTTTTATGACGTCACGTGAGACGTCATTTATGACGTCACCAGGGTCAAAGGAGCTTTTTGTGACACTAGGGTCATAGGAATTTTTCGTCAATAGCTCCCGATTAAACTGAGCTAGCGAATCGGGAAAGCCATCAATGAACTCTGCTACACCTGCCTGAATTGAACAACATGCAATATGACCTCTTTCGGCCAACTTCGTGACCTAAGTGGCTCTGCCTCTAACCTGACCTTGTCAACACCTTAAGCTGACCTCAATGAAATAAAAAAGTATCAATCTACGCTCCTCTGCATGGAGGCCACGATGATGCCAAAATAAGCGGCGTTGCAACTGTTTTTGGTTCAGCTATTTATCAAAAACCGAACCCGTATTTTGGTGCTTTTGACCTGACCTCAGAGTTCACCGGTTAACCCGAGACCTAGAAAAGGGGTACCAGTAGCTGCGTCTCGTAACAGCGCACGGGCTCGTTTTTTTTCTGAGAGACCATAGCTCAATAAGAAGCAAAACGGTGAGGGGTCGTACCGACCCCTCCACCCTAGGCCGGGACATACGTAGAAAGCCAAAAGCTCCGGCGAATGTAAAAATGATGTGATGTTGCATTTGAGGTAGGTCGGGTTGGTCGCATACGGTGAGACATGAAACGTCCCACTGATTGTTCTTGGCATATGTCTAAATACACGGATAGGTAACTTTGCCACGTGCTGTTCAGTTAAAAAACTACATGGTTTTCAAATGTTCAAATGAATGCAGAAAAAATCAACAAATCAAATCGCCATTTTGGCCTGTCATGTCGAGAAATAACAGGTCTTTAAGGTGAAAAAGAGATCAAAGGTCATTTATGTCATTGCACCAAATGATTTTTCCGAGTTATCTGCAAAGGGGATTTTCACGAGTCCATAGAAAAGTTCATCGCCACCCTCCGCTTGTTATCAGCGTTACAGATGAAATATCGAGGGTTCCATCCGACCATTTTTTTCTAACCCGGCAGTTGCTGGGGTATTTCGCCACCCACCGTTTGCTGGGGGGGGGGGGGGCGTTAAACGCCCCCAGCCGATAACTCGAGAACCAATAGGCGCAGCGAAACGCGCGAGACGGCAAACGAAAGAACGCGACGAGACGCTTCAGATGAGTACTTTTAAGTTGAACTTTGAGGTCACAGGTCGGGTCAAGGTCAGGTCAAAAATCTGAAATCGGGCTTTCAGTAGCATGGATTTCAGGACTTCGCAATGGGCGCCTCTCGTCATAAACTCTGTCAAAACGGTGCACAGGTGCACAATCCATCATATAAGGCTTACAAGAGTGTCAGCGCCATGTAGGGGTCAATCAAGCATAGGTCAGGGTCAAGGTCAGGTCAACCGGGTAGGCACATATCCCCGAAAATCAAAACTGATATTCGTAGCCTGTGACACATGTTATATGGGTAATTTGGGGCGTAGAACACGATGATGACATTCATTTTATCATATGTGTACGTATTTGGCTCAAAAAGTTCAATTTAAGAAATGCATGTATCATGGTCGTGAAGTAGTCACGAGAAATTGTCAAGATTCAGTTCAAGATTTTGGAAAATGCGAAATGATAATCAATAATCGAAGATAGCCATTTGATTGTTCATGGTTTTGGCAGTCTAATGGCGTCTTTGGCATGTCTGTATGTCTATTTTGTGATTTTATATGATTTTTTGAACATATGCCGTTTTTGGTCGAAAACTCAGAAATCATGACGTCACAGAAACCTCGATATCTCAAAAATTTTTCGACCGATTTTTTTGAAACTTTGTCACAATACACTTCAATCAATTCCCTACAGGTACCCAAAATTTGGCGCGCCTGCGGTGCGCCGTTTTTATGCTATGGCCCCGCGAAAAAAGTGGGGGCGTTTAACGCCCCCCCAGCAACTCGCGGGTTAAAGGGTGCGAACTGCGGGGTTACCTTTCCATCTCAAATGTGTATCACGTACGTACTCAAATGTGTTCCACGACAAATCGACAAGTGCCCTGCACCCTCATATTTTATTTTTTGCTTAAAATTGGTCTAATGGGTTGTGATGGGCGGGGAAGCCAGCTGTGGCGAGGATTTTTTTCTTCGAACAACGGTTTCCGAGATATAGCCTCGGGCAATTCCTGGAGGTCACGCTGCAACCTTATGTTTGGCGGCTTATAACTCAGAAACTATTGGTTTTCTATGATAAAAACTTTATATGGTTCAACTCACAATCACCAACAAACATTTTGGCTATCTCGGATTTTCAATTTTTGAAAATTTTGATCACGTGACCTTTTGACTTATTTTTCGGACCTTGATATTTTCCCCACTGAAAGTTGCAATTTTGTATGATGACGATTAAAGCCTTATCAATTATCATTCATATGCGATAATAAAAAAGTGGTTATCGCCCTGCGTTGACCTCAGGTCAGGTCATTTTTATGACTTGTCCATTATTACGAGCGGGAGCGTCAGCGAGATCTCGAGAACAAAGCAAGATAGCGACAAGCGGTAAACGGTACAGGGTACACACGGATAAGATCTATAATTTTTACAGAGGTCATTTTCAGGTCAGGTCAAAGATGACGTCACAGGAGCAAAAAGGAAGTCAAAATAGCGGCACTACATACATATATGAAGTTTTTCTCGAATAACTTTCAAGGTATCCCAGCTAGGAACAAACTAATAGCACCATCGTGATCCTCTCGTTGATCCGCATCGAAACATATGTATGTTGACCTCGAAAGGTCGAAAGGTCAAAAGTTGACCTTAGGTCACGTGACCTCTCAACTTTTGTGGTCAACTTTTGACCTTTCGACCTTTCGAGGTCAACATACATATGTATGTTTCGATGCGGATCGACGAGAGGATCACGATGGTGCTATTAGTTTGTTCCTAGCTGGGATACCTTGAAAGTTATTCGAGAAAAACTTCATATATGTATGTAGTGCCGCTATTTTGACTTCCTTTTTGCTCCTGTGACGTCATCTTTGACCTGACCTGAAAATGACCCCTGTAAAAATTATAGATCTTATCCGTGTGTACCCTGTACCGTTTACCGCTTGTCGCTATCTTGCTTTGTTCTCGAGATCTCGCTGACGCTCCCGCTCGTAATAATGGACAGGTCATAAAAATGACCTGACCTGAGGTCAACGCAGGGCGATAACCACATTTTTTATTATCGCATATGAATGACAATTGATAAGGCTTTAATCGTCATCAGACAAAATTGCAACTTTCAGTGGGGACAATATCAAGGTCACTCATCAAAAAATAGGTCAAAAGGTCACGTGATCAAAATTTTCAAAAATTGAAAATCCGAGATAGCCAAAATGTTTGTTGGTTGATTGTGAGTTGAACCATATACAATTTTTATCAGAGAAAACCAATAGTTTCTGAGTTATAAGCCGCCAAACATAGGGTTGCAGCGTGACCTCCAGGAATTGCCCGAGGCTATATCTCGGAAACCGTTGTTCGAAGAAAAAAATCCTTGCCACAGCTGGCTTCCCCGCCCATCACAACCCTTTTCACCAGTTTTCAACGAAGAATAAAATATGCGGGTGCAAATTTAATTTTTTATTTGTCGATTTGTCGTGGAACGCCCCTTTAAAGGTAAATAACCATCTACCTATGACCCCCATCTGGTGAAACATTTTGCCATTACCAAAACTTTGAATAACCCGCGCCCCACTGAGCTATTCAGCCATACGCGCCCTGCTGGAGGGGGGGGGGGGGCAGATTCTGCCCCCGTCTAACTTCCGAACCGATGGTCGTAGAAAGACGGGGGAAAAGGCAATCGAAAGCTCTCAACAAGGCGGATCTTAAGAACCGATTGTTTTTGCTTAAGTAGGTCAGAGGTCAAGGTCAAGGTCAGGTCAAGGGTACAAAATGCAAGTTTCTACAGTATCGGCCTTGCAGCGTAGTTGCCGAAGAATGGACTGAGACTGATTGCCCAAAACGTGTTTTAGGCTACCAAGACAATATTCGTTGCATACAATATCATGCAAAGGTTAAGGTCAAGGTCAGGTCAGGTCACCAAAAACGAAATATAGAAAAGGGCATGTGCGACACATGTTTTATGAGTCATTTTATTCATAGAATTCAACAGGCACACTCCATAAGTGATATGGACCACATCTGGATGAATTTTAGGCCGAGCTCAGGTCAAGGTCAGGTCAAGTGAGGTTAAATTTTGAAGTTGGTTGCTAAGACCTGAAAAGGTGTCTATCTGATGCAGTTTTTCACGACTAATCGAATGGTGCTATTTTTATTTCCGTCCAAGATCTAGAACTTCCAACAAATTCTTTTTTTCAAAATTTTTGTGTGTCCGGACGTCATAAAAATTTAAATAACTCTCATATTTTTTAACCAGTTCTTTTAAAAATTGGTATGTAGGTGACCTCAGAGTTCATTGACGACTTCTCTGGCATATACATATTCGTTTTTTATACACTCAAAATTTTGGATTTCATAATCATTTTTCCCCAAAACTCAGTTTTTGAAAAAAATGGGCCACAATTTTCAACAAACCGAGATAGCCAATTGATAGACAAAGTAGAATCACGTATACCCTTTTTGTTACGTCTTGATTCCTTTAAAAATGAAGATGTTAGCGGCGTTTGAAGTTTTGCCGTTTTTGAGGCGAAAATGGCGTGACATGACGTCACTTAAACGTCATTTGATCAAATATTGTCCGAAAGATTTCGCTCAAATTTTCAGGGAACGTGTTAAATTAGTGTATTATAGGGTACTGAAAGTTTGACGTTATTGGCATAACGCATTTAGAAGTTATTGGCGAAAAATGGGAGTCGGGGCAGATTCTGCCCCCCCCCCCCCCCCCCAGCGGGGCGCGGGACAAAGTCGAGCAGCATGACAAGAAAATAAGACAAAAAAAAAAGAAACGAGGAAGTGAAAAAACACGGAACAAATAGTGCATGTTTTGCACTATTTATTCCGTGTTTTTCTACTCGTCTCTATCAATATACAAACGAGGAAGCCTGTCAGTTGAGGTTGCTGTCAGATCACGGCCATGACGAGGGAGCAATCAGCCATAACGCTTCGTTCAAGTATTTGAGCTTCGTCATTTGAGTGGATCGAAGCAGCTAATGCACATGTCATTATCGGTTGCCACTTGCCAGATCTGTTTTAAGCAATGATCAAGGTAATGCACCGTGTATCCGGTTCATTTAATGGGCCGCTGTTCCAATATTGTCAGGCCTGTCAGTTAAAGTGCTCCCGTCCGACAACAACCATCTAATCGTCTGTCATACCGCCCGACAACTGCTAGCCATCTGTCATCCCACTCGACATCCTTCTAATCATTCGTCATACAGCCCGACAACATCTTTCCAGACGTCAGTCGTCCCGCCTGGCTTCCACTCTCCACTGCCGGACCCGTGCACCGCACGGCAGCCTCCGCCGATTAGCGGCTCCGGCACTGATGATTAGTGTGACGAGGCCCCTGGTGATTGGTGACGACACCCCCCCCCCACCCCACCCCCTCCCGACCGTCCGGCCCCCCGGTCACGGATAACTGCGGTCAGCCGGGCGTCGGGTATATAAGAGAAGACGTGCACAGTGGCTCACACTCACACTTCTCACGGGTCCGGCAGCCAATCAACGTCACCGTCGTCATGAAGCTGGTGAGAACAAACGCGAGATCGTATATATTTTATTCGTTTTAAAGGAGCCCGTGATAACGTTTTATGGTATTGAGTTATGATTTTCTTTGGAATCTTGGATGCACTTCAAACTTCGATCAGCAAAGCTGTGAACCTTCCTGCATCTCACTTTTGAGGTGGCATGTTTAGGTGTAAGGGTTTTGTAAGTGGCGTATTGATTGCTCAATTAATTTGGACGCAAAAATATATGCTATTACTCGATTGATATCTATTGAATAAATTGTGCACGCAATTTTGAACCGTATGAATTTTGGACTGTAAAAAACGATTGGGATCTGTACTCTGTAGGTAGAAAAGGAAGGGCTGTTTGTAAAAATTTGTCACCGTGCTCGTTACGTTTTTTGAAACTAGCTAAAAATTGTATCAAGTGTCTATGAACTAAGTAAATTTTGCAAATCCCTAGCCTTTTTGGATAGGTGAAAACAGGAAGCAGTTATGGCTTATGAAAAGTCATCAGCAGAGCAAATCATATTGTTGATGCCAAATAATTTTGCAGACGCCTAGTGTCTTGTTCTATTCATGAATGACTGACACATGACAATGGCATGACATTTTCTTTTTTGGCTTTCGATGACTAGCTTTGTGCTTGACTTTATTTCTGTTCTGTGTATCTTGTTTCAATTAATTCACACTTCTTCTCCTTTTCAGTTCGTTCTGTTCGCCCTGGTGGCCGTAGCTGCCTGCCAGTACGTGCCTGGCAGCGACAAGGAGGCCCAGATCGTCAAGAACCTGTACGAGGCGGCCGTGGACAACAGCTTCGTGACCGACGTGGAGACCTCCAACGGCATCCTGGTCAAGGCGTACGGCGAGAGCCTGCCGGGCCCCGAGCCGGAGACGGGCACCTCGCGCCAGAGCGGCAGCTACCAGTACGTCGCGCCCGACGGCCAGACGATCCGCGTCGAATGGGAGGCCGACGAGAGGGGCTACCGCGCCACCTCGGACGTCATTCCCGAGGGAGCCGACGGCCGGGCGGCCGCCACCGGCGAGCAGCAGTTCTAGACGGGCGCCGAGCGACGGGCCGCGTCGGCACCGACAGCCGCCGACGCGCCGGAATTGACATCAAGGAGCGCCCACCTGGACCGGAGATGTCACGTGTGATCCTGTGTAATATAAACGCCAAACGAATCCTATATACACTCATGATATTACATCGAATATTTTTCTTAGCTCAGACGAGTGTCGTCATAGCCCACTAGTAAGACGTAAGACGCCTTTTGGGCGACAAACGAGCGAGCGAGATGGTGTGACCCCTGGACGAACGAAAGTACACTGCGAGCCCCCAACTGACTTGCGCAGGCCACCTATCTAGCCGACCGATAAAGGTGTGGCCACGTGCAATATGACACCCGAACTGGATTATGCAGGTTACCCTAATAATCGTTCCCTGGCATCTAATCGAATTTAAACTGCATTGTCCCAACCCTTCTCGATACATGGAAACGGCCTCCTGAGCGTGCGCACGTGCAAGCAAAACCCAACAGACTTGTGACAGGCACCCTGCCACATGTCTCTAGCGGTGTACCAAATTTTAGCGCAATCGGCAACCGGAACCTGCCGTTCTCGAGATCTGGAAGTGACCCCTGCACGTGCTCACGTGCACTACCCCAACCGTGATTATGAAACTGCGTTCCTCGTGGGGTGCCTAGCCTACCAGTACCGACATGCAAAGTTTCCGTGGCACGTGAAGTGAAGATTACCCACATACATTCGAGAGTAGTTCGATGCTTGGCAAAAGGATAGATCTATCTAGTGCAGAAAGCTGCTTGTTGATCGGTCGAGTGGTTGCCGAGATAAAAGGCTCTCAGAAGCGTCACGGGACCGGGCCGGGCCGGCTCCCTATGCCCCTATGACGGGTCACTATGCTCGCTCAATCGCTAACAACTACTTTTTCTACTTAAAGTCAAATAATAAAAAACATGCAAAGCGTGTGTCATGCTAATCACGATAAAAACAAAACTATGCTTTGAAATTATAATCAACCACAAATCAGCTTAGCTATGCACCTTCCATGAAGAGATCCGGTGATGGTGTCAGCGCGATGACTTGTCTCAAGGTCATCCTGACAAGACCAAGACCATCTTTGATTGGCAAAAATAATCTGCACGGCTTATTTGGTCGAACATCTAACGGTTAAGTTAATAGCGATGCGTCAGAACTATGGACGCCTGATAATCATGCTATTTATTTTATTGAGCTTCTGTGCAGCGCACAATGCACAATGCAACATTTCGGTGCAGCATCATCGCAAAAACAAGTCAGCGATGAACTTTCACCGATGAACGGAGACCCAGGCAGCCAGACGACGCGACAGTAAAAACACGTCTCAATGTATAAATCGTGAGAGAATGTTCCACCTTCTGCCTTTACAACATGAAGCCCATAGTTCAGGCCACGGCTGCCAGGTCCTATTCCGTAGCACCTGCTTTGATCAGAGCTGTCCGAGTGTTCATGACTACTTCGGAAATTAATAGGCTGAGTTGTGGAGCTACGAAATTGGAATTAAGACTGTGGAAAATGAAACAAATCATTGAAAGGTCAGTCTCACCACACCACACATATTCATGTCACCGCAATTCTTTCATTAAATGCTGACAATGGTTTCTGAAAATGAAAATATGACATAAGACAAAAAAGGATTAAGAAATAAAAATGTATCACTTTCGCCGTATGATACCATACCAATGAATAGAGAAATGTAAAAGAATACAAAGACAGTTTCACTTAATGTGATACCACTTACCAGAGAGTGATAGACGAATAGCAATGTGTAAATAAGCCTGTAATTTTTCAGCCTTTCGTCGAATTAAACTAACATCCGTCTTTGTCGATGTTGATGATAAGAAATTCGTGAAAAAGACCCAGGGAAGTCAAGTTGTTGACATGTATTTCATGACTCAATGGCATACAAACATGAAAATGAGAAGGTGGGGCTGTTGTACATAGGCGGTAGGATGGAAAATAGTTTGTCATTAGAAAATAACAGAATGTGATGATCAGATCACCCAGACACGGTGAAGTTTGCAACCATTTCAAGTCGCAAATGTGCCAGAATATTGAAGCCGTTTGGCGTTTATATTACACAGGATCACACGTCACATCTCCGGTCCGGGTGGGCGCTCCTTGGTGTTAATTCCGGCGCGTCGGCGGCTGTCGGTACCGACGCGGCCCGTCGCTCGGCGCCCGTCTAGAACTGCTGCTCGCCGGTGGCGGCCGCCCGGCCGTCGGCTCCCTCGGGAATGACGTCCGAGTGGCGCGGTAGCCCCTCTCGTCGGCCTCCCATTCGACGCGGATCGTCTGGCCGTCGGGCGCGACGTACTGGTAGCTGCCGCTCTGGCGCGAGGTGCCCGTCTCGGCTCGGGGCCCGGCAGGCTCTCGCCGTACGCCTTGACCAGGTGCCGTTGGAGGTCTCCACGCGGTCACGAAGCTGTTGTCCCGGCAG